CCGGTACTCCTCACCTGCAAGGGGGCACAGTGGCTGAGCGGGGTGGGGGCCTCCCAGCCCTTCCAGCATGGGGCTGCGGTCACCTGCGTGGCCCCAGCAAGATCCCCCTGCCCCAGGGTAACACCCGGCCACAGCCGCCCCATGGGCTCGGTCACGCATGCAGCAGCCTGGGGGTTCCCGGGACCCCCAACCACCCCTGAGGACAGAGCAGAGCCAGCCCCGAGCCCACCGGGAACGACATACCATAGTCCCCGCTGTTTGTGCCCGAGGACTCCTGCTCTTCAGCATCCGTCGGCATCTCTGGGGGGAAGAGGAGAGGAGGACGGGTGGAGGGAGACCCCAGCACGCCGGGGGTCCCCTTGGCACAGCCGGGTGGCCCTTACCTGGCTCCCAGGGTGCAGGGGGGGCCAGCCCTTCCCCCCGCTGCCGCCGGTGAATCCAGGTGCAGAGCACCACGGTGAAGACATAGAACACATACAGCCCCAGGTAACCTGGAATGGGGGGAGCGATGGGGGGTTACGGCACCCCCAGGCTGCTCCCGCCACCCCCCCAGACCCAGTCCTCCATGGCGCTCACCCAGAGCCTCTCCCAGCGTGATCCTGCCAAAGTAGAGGATCATGAAGGTGAGGAAGACGGCCACCATGTAGAAGATGACATCCCTGAGGAAGGGCCTGGAGGCAGCCGTGAAGGGCTTGACCAGGGCGATGCCCCCGGCCACCACCGTGGTCACGAACACGCCGGCGCCTGCCAATGCAACGGGTGCGTCTCAGGGGGGAACATCCCATGGCCTCGCAATGTCCCCCCCACCTGTCACCCTCCCTGAGCAGCAGCCCCCAGTGGGGGTCTCCTTACCAAAGATGGCCCCGATGGCCAGCCCTGCCGTCCGCGGGTCGGAGAAGGCCACCACGGCACTGAAGACATCTGGTGCCCCGTTGCCAAAGGCCAGGAAGGTGACACCATGGAGAGGGAACATCAAGGAAAAGACCTGGTGGCCTCCTCCCCGCAGGGACACAGGGTACCTGCCCGCTCCAGCCACCGCAGGACTCTCTCCCGGTGCCAGCACACCACTACTCACCCCGTCACCATCTCCAGCTCACGCTCCAAATCGCTTTCCCCTGGCACGGTGCCGAGGGTTTGCAGAAGTGCCCCCATCATGTCACCTCCCCGTCCCGTCCCTGCATCCCCCCTCCCTGGCCGAGGTCCCCCGCCGCCCACAAGGATACTGCCACGTTGTGAGACAGCTTCAGGTTGGTGGAGATGGCCGATAAGTTGGGGCAGAAGCTGGAAGGGCAGAGAAGGCGGAGAGGGGTGACAGGGCTGCTCCAGGACCACGGGGCTCCCCCCTCACCCCGGGGACTGTCCCCTCCTCTGCGGGGCTACTCACAACTTCTCCGCCGTCACGCCCAGGATGATGAACAGGTACAGGAGCCAGAGAGCCTGCAGGGTCAGGGATGGCAGAGAGTGGGGTCCCCACCCCGTGCCCCCAAAGCCAAGCGTCCCCCAGCAGCATCATCCCCGCTCCTGTCCTTACGTAGAGGGTGACGGCCAGGGGGAGCAGCCGGGGGGGAAAGACGCAGAAGACCCCCTCGAGGTAGTCAAGGAAGCCACCGTCCAGCCGGCAGTCGGGGTTGCTCCGGATGAAGCGGCACCACTCGGAGCTGTTGCGTTTCCGCACCTCCCAGCACTGCAGGGCAGAGCGTGGGGTGCTCGGCTGGGCACCCCAAGTCCCATCCCCCCCAAGTGCCCACCGCCCTCCAGCGAGGGCTGCCATCGGGCACCCTGCGGGCGACGCTGCCCCTCTGCTGGGCTGCTTTCGGTAGGTGACTGTCATCCCTGCCTCAGTTTCCCCATCTGCACTATGCGTGCGTGGGTCAAGGGCTGTGCCACGGCCAGCGAGGGCGCGAGCCCTTGTCCCCGTCCCTGTCCCCAGCAGCACAGGGCCTCACGTCGCCCCCCACCCAACCCCGGCCACGGGAAGGCGCCGGCCTGGCAAGCGGCAAGGTTTTCGAAGGAGAAAACCAGCAGCGGAGGAAATCCTGGTGAGATCCCAACTGCGATGGCGGGGACAGGGGAAGCAGGGTCGGGA